GTGTTAAGGAATAACTGGCACACCATTTTTAAAAGACACAGACCATGGTATCTGGTTTACGTTTAGAACTTTACATGCTCCTTGTTCAAAACGCTGAAGTGCCAACTCTGATCACTGGGTCGAGATCTGGATCTCCCATGGACATACAACAGCAGCGTGTACTTGAATAGCACCTTCAATACAACAACAACTTACATTTACAAAGCACTTTTTAATGTAATGAACTGTCCCGAGGCATTTTACAGGAGCTTTATGAAAGAAAGTTTGACACTGAACCACCTCAGGACACACCAGCGACCAATAGCTTGGTCAAACAGTTAAGCTTTCAGGAGCGATTACTCCTGGTTTTCAGGAGTGAGAGAGCGGGGAGAAGTAAGGAGGAAATGGTAGAGCTTAGGAACAGAGCAATTGAAAGCACCAGGGTCAATGGTGAAGTGGTGGAAGTCGGAGATACACAGGAGGCCAGACTGGAGGGGGCAGAGATCTCAGTGAACCACAGCAGAATACAAAGATGAGGGCAGCGGGGAGTGGAGGGGATTGCCAAGGCTGTGGAAGAAGTTAAAAACAAAGACAAACATTTTAAAACGGTGGCACTGCGTGAGCAGGAGCCAATGTCAGTGAGCGAGCACATGGGGTGATGGGAAAACCAGCAGGACTTGGTGTGAGTTAGGGCAGGGGCAGCAGAGCCAATATCGGCTGTTGGTGAAAGAGCTTTGGGTTAGTGAACCAGGGTGTGGGGATGTGTGTGGGTGTTGGGGGCATGTCTACATGTGTGGAGGTGTTTGTGGGTCTGTGAGTGTGTGTGTCTGTGTGTCTGAGTAAGTTTGTGTGTGTGCGTGTGTGGTTCTGTATCTGAGTGTGTGTCCAAGTGTGTGTCTGACTGAGTGTGTGTGTGTCTGTGTGTGTGTGTCTGAGTCAATGTGTGTGTGTGTGTGTGTATCTGTGTATGTGTGTCTGAGTCAGTGTGTGTGTGTGTGCAGTTCTGTGCCTGTGTGTGTGTGCGGTTCTGTGTCTGCGTGTATGTTGTGTGTGTCTGTGTGTGTGTGTGTCTGACTGTGTGTTTGTGTGCGGTTCTGTGTCTGTGTGTGTGTGTTTGTGTGCATGTGTGTGTGTGTGCGCGCGTGTTTGTGTGTGGTTCTTGTCTGTGTGTGTGTGCGTGCATGTGTGGTTCGGTGTGTGTGTGTGTGTTTCTGTGTGTGTGTGTGTGTGTGTGGGTGTGTGGGTGTGTGGGTGTGGATGTGGGTGTGTGTGGGTGTGGGTGTGGGTGTGTGTGGGTGTGGGTGTGGGTGTGTGTGTGTGTGGGTGTGGGTGTGGGTGTGTGTGTGGGTGTGTGTGTGTGTGTGTGGGTGCGGGTGTGTGTGGGTGGCTGGGGTACTCCTGGATGGTACATACACAATGGAATGGTGTGGCTTTTACAGAAACGAGTTGGAGCTACAAACTGCCAGCGACTCGGGATGTGAACGTGCATTCAGATCTGAAGCACACAACACAGAGAAAAGAAAAGGCGTGGCCTCCAGCTACATCCTTGATTTACACAGGGGAACGTGCAGCTACACAGGGTGGAACTCCCAGGCACACATTCCACTGAAGATACTGGCTTCTGTCATCATTACGATCATTAAGTGGTGCCCTGCTGCTCGGCCTGTACGTCAACAGCCTGTCCCAGGGCTGCAAGTACAGCCTCTGGAGAATTGTGCCCAGAGACAGGTTCAGAGAGGCCGTCTTTGAGGGTGCGTACTGCACACGAGATACTGTTCACTAATTGAGGTGTTTAAGACAATTAGTACATTCGATGGGCTAGATAGAGAGAAACCATTTCTCATTTTCCTTTGGGTAATAGGATGCGTGCAGCTCCTCCTAACCAATAGCACAAGGAAAGATTGGGCCTGAAGTCTAATGTCTTAACCTCTAGACAGAACTGACAGCAAGACCAAACTGAAGCAGCAGGATCTGTTGCATATGTTCAATGTTGATGGTGGTTTGGCTTTTGCTACAAATTTGTATTCGTTTTCGCCTTGTCTCCATCTACTTTAAATGTCACATTTGTGGTCAGCACGGATTGGTTGAGCCAAATGGTCTGTTTCCGTGCTGTATGACTCTATGTCACATTTGGATGACAAAGTCCTATTGCAAAAAACTAACATCCCTGGTGAAAGTTTGTGGTCTGATGACATCATCGTCACCCCTCAATGGCCAAGCTGAGTAATAACAAGACTCCCTTCTCAAAAGATCACTGGGAGATCAGGTGGATTTTTACAATGATCCAGTAGCCTCATGGTCACTTTTACTGAGACCAGCTTCTCAACTTCCAGATATTTCAAACTGAACGCAAATTCTCAAACATTCATGGTGCAAACTGAATTCACTGGATTATTTGTGTAGATTTCAGGATTACTATTAATTGATGTAGGATTCATGTCTTTGTTGACTCCTGGTTGGTCTCCCACATTCTAACAAGTCCCACTCTCCTGTGCACTATACACTAAACTACAATGCCTCCTGGATAAGAAATTTCTTGATTTTAAAATTCTCATCTTTGTTTACAAATCCCTCCATGATCTCATCTCACCTCCAGCCTCTGAGATCCTCTTATTCCGGCCTCTTGTGAATCCCTGGTTCCTGTCGCTCCATCATTAGTGGCCATGCCTTCAGCTGCCTGGGTCCCAAACTCTGGAATTCCCTCCCTACGCATCCTCACTTCTCTAACTCGTTTTCCTCCTTTAAGATGATTCTTAAAACCTACGCCTTTGACCACGGTTTCCCTCAACGACTGTGGCTTGGTGGCACAGCGTTTTATAATGTCCCGTGAAGTACTCTGGTACAATTTATTACGTAAAAGGTGCTATATAAATATAAGTTGTTACTGCATTCGGCTGTACAATTGCAGAGCACACACTGCCGGAAACACAGACTGTATGTGATCAGATACTGAAACAAACCCTCTTATAAAAGGTCTATGTGCACTGTGCACATGTAGGAGCAAACACTGAGACATGAGCAGGACCGTTACAGATTGAAGTAGATTATTGTCTGCTACTCAGCATGTACTATACAGAAGGTGGGATTGCTTCGCTTGGATGGCTGGTTTGTGATGCAGAGCGATACCAACAATGTTGGTTCAATTCCCACACCAGCTGAGCATACCATGAAGGTCCCACCTACTTGACCTCACCCCTCACCTGAGGCGTGGTGACCCTCAGATTAAATGACCACCAAACATCTCTCTAATGAGACAGCAGTCCTCTGGGACTCTGGCATCTTTACCTTTTCACTATAATAGACACAGATGTCATGCATATTGTTCCTATTTGATGTGTATGTAGATGTGAAGAGGTGGACAGTTAGAGGAAGCATTGAGCTTTTATAAACTACACACCATGTTAATAGATACCAGTCGAGACTGATTTGCTTCCTACTGCTGTATATATACAGAGGCTGACAGGGAAATGTCTGAGAATTGTACAGAATTATGCTGAAGTACAAACGCTCAACGGACAGTTGACATTCCAATTAAATCACCAAGCTCTGAGCTGCTAGTGTCTCAACTGGAGAACCTGTCAGACTATTGAAGTGAATCCAAGTGTAACACTCATTGCTGTGTCACCTGTCCATTGAGTTAATCTACACTTACAGAGATAAAGCCACCCGGGAGAGACAGCACTCATCATTCTGTCCGACATTCACAATTGAGAATCTAACAACTTACAGGCACAGTACTAACAGCTAAACACATCCCCCTTTTGGAAACTGATCTCACAATGTTACATGGCTCAGGAAACATTGATAACGCTACAGGGAAAACATGGGTAATTGAGACTGACCTCCTCTTTCTGAGAGCTGGATAAGGTCCAATAAGGCAAATGGCCTTCCACTAATGACTCAAGACTGGCCACTTCCATACACAATACTCAAAGTGCGGCCTCACTAACATTCTGTACGACTGCAATGTAATTTCCCAACTTCTGTGCTCAATGCCCTGACTGATGAAGGCCAGTGTGCCAAAAGTCTTCTTCACTGCCCTGTCTCCCTGTGACTCCACTTTCAGAGAACTGTGCACCTGAGCTCCAAGGTCCCTCTGTTCTACTACACTCCTTAAGGCCCTACCATTCACCATGAAAACTCCTACCTTGATTTGGCTTTCCAAAATGTAACACCTCACACTGTCCATATTAAGCTCCATTTGCCATTTTTTGGCCCAATTCCATAGCTGATCAAGAACCTGCTGCAATTTCTGATAACCTTCCTCACTGTCCACGATATCGCCTATTTTAGTGTCATGGCAAACTTACTAATCATGTCTTGTACATTCTCATCCAAATCATCGATATAGATAACAAACAGCAATGGGCCCAGCACCGACCCCTGAGGCACACCACTAGTCAGAGGCCTCCAGTCCGACAAGCGGTAATTTGGGATGGGCAATGAATGCTGACCTTGGCAATGATGCCCACAACCCACGAAAGGGTAAAGGGAGCCTCTGGACTGAGGTTTAAATCATAATCTTGCCGCTTTAAGGTGAGAGTATTGGCCTGAGGCAGTTCCTCGGAGGGCAGGTGGATGGAGGGTGGAAGATTCAACCCAACCAGGTAGCTCCAGACTGATGATGCAAACAACCTTTGAGTTACCTTTACCACCAGAACGATTGAGGGAATTGAAGAATGGCTACAATTAAAGTTAAAAGTATTGACCCTCAGGAAGGCTGAGGGCAGAGAGTTGCAGATATTCACTAACCTTCGTGTAAATTGGTGCTTCCTGACTGGACTAGAACGCTGATCATAAAACCCTGCCTTCAGATGAAATGGTTTCTCCTCACCCACGGCCCAAGAAGGCAGCTCACCTTCTCCAGAGGCAATTAGGGATAGGCTATAATGCGCCCCCCGCCCAAGCCAGCGATGCCCATGTCCTGTGAACTAACTTCAAAACAATACCTATCCCATCGATTTGACTAATGCTGTACACAATGGGCTGCCAGCTACCAGCAAGCAGTCTCTTTCTCCTACCTGGACATGTTGTCGGGTGAACAGGCCGAGTTGCCCGTGGAAACGCTGGTCTCCAAGCTGTCGGAACTTTCTAGACTGAGTGTGTCAAAGGCGTGCTCCAGGTCGAGGCCATGCTGAGTGGAGAGAGGCTGCGGGTTGTGGTGGAGGATACTGTGGTGGATGAGGTGAGATTGGGGTTGTCCACTCACGGAGTAGGACTGGCCAAACATTGGTGATGGTTGACTGTGCAAGGCCTCCCACTGTGATTGGGCCTCGACTGCAGCCTTCTGCTTCAGCTCAGCCAATCGCCTCCTTTGTTCTTCAATCACCTGGTGACCTTGGTCAAACAATGAAAGGTACACATTGAGACGATGGAAGCAGAGAAAGAAGAAAGAGTTAAATTATAAAATCTAATACAATGGTGGAACATGCTTGAGGGGCTGAATGGCCTCCTCCTGTCAATCAATTTATAGATCACTTTGTTGTCACAACAAATTCTTGCAGAATAAACTGCATTTATATAGCACCTTAACATAATAAAACATCCCAAGGCACTTCAAAGCAGAGATTAGCAAAGAAAACTTGACAGTGAGCCATATAAAAAGGTATTAGAATTCCAAAGCTTCAAAAGAGTTAGGGTATCAGCAACTTCATAAAGCAGGAAGAAGAGGTTGAGGTAGGGAATTCCAGAGCTTAGGACTTAAGCGCTTGACAGTACGGTGGTAAGAGAAGGAATGATTATGATCAGGATAAGGAAGAGGCAAGAACTGGAAGGACTTAGACACTATGGTGGGGTAATAGCGCTGGAGGAGATTAGAGAGATAGGGAATGGGGGTGCGGGAGGAGTGAGGCCATGAAGGTTTTTGAACTGAGGATGAGAATGTTCACACTGAGTCAGTGCTTCTGGCTCCTGATGCTAAATTCCAATAAAAGCTTTAATACAAGACCAAAGCTCGGTCTCTTCAGACTCCACAGGAAATGTCCAACATCACAGAACGGAGCCTGAAGTCCCAGTAAATGCACACACTCGCCTCGATTGTACAACATGACAGCACTTCCTCCCAATTCCAAGCAGAATTCCTACCTCTCCTGTGATCTGTTTTGGATATCCCTAGTGATTCTGCACAGCATCAGCAAGAAGTAGGGTATGTAAAAGGTCGAGTCAGAAGATAGGAGTGACGTGCCATTCAAAAAGAAAGATACGGCAAGGAAGAAAGCAAAAAAAAAAATTCAGTGAGCATTTCTTTAAATCAGAGATATGGAATAAAATTGTGTTCAAACGTTTTGGCTGGCTATTCTGCAACAGTAGCATTGACAGAGGAAGCCATGGTTGTCAATATATTTGGTCCCAAATGTGGCCAAGTGTGTTCAAAATGCTAGTCATAGACTTTTTGTTACTAGTGTAACATCTGTGCCAGGAGCCATTCCACATTGGGGTTTGGTTTGATTGTAGTTGAGATGTGTTAGGGTTTCCCTACAACTGTGGGGTGAGAAGCCCCATACAAATCCAACCAGGCAGGGCTCCTGTGGAACTGTACAGCTCTCACCATTGGGTGCACACTCTGTGTGAGGTCCCTACACCTCAGGGATTCTCAAGAGGCTGATTGCAATCAGCCTGCTCATTATCAAAGAGTCATTAACTACAGATGAGGCCCTTCGGCCCATCGAGTCTCCACCATCCTATTTACTGCTCCTCCCCTTCACGGGCATGACCCTTCTGTGACAGTGGCTCCCAATGTGCCACAATTCCAGCCTCACGCCAGGACAAAGTGTTTCCATCAGCAGCACCAAAGGACAGAGATTGAAGAGAATTGTCCAATGAGCTGGAGGGGGGAGAACAAACAGAAATTATTAATGGAGGGAGAAGGTGTGATCTGGATTGTGCTGCCTGAAAAGTTGGTGACATGGATTCAAAACTAACTTCCAACTGGAGAAATAGTTGGAAATTAAGATTTGCAGGGCTGTGGGGTATAGAACAGGGCAGCAACACTAATCAGGCAGTTCCTTCTCGATGATGGGCTGAATGGCCTTTTTCTGTACTATAAGATTCTGGGATGTAACCCCCGATTGACTTTGATCCTGTCTGTTCCTCCTGGTGAGCTCACAGTCCAACGCTCACCTTTCTGCTGCAGTGCCAACTGTCTCTTCACTTCGATGTCTTGCAAAGTAGCAGCCAGGTTTCGTGGCAAACTACTCGTGCCATTCTGTGCCACCACAGGGGTCTGCAAAACAAATAGAATGTGGATAAACGAATAGAGAATGCAGCTTGCTGCATCAGACATTGTCAGGCATTGAACATTAAACAGCGTTAGTTCTGTCACTGAGTTCAATCTCAGGGGTATCTCTGCGCTGTTACAGGCATTATCATTCCCAGGTGTACTTGTAATATTGTCTTCATTTATGACACTTGTTAAACAGATCGATTCAACCCGCCTGTCTCCATGGCAATGCATTATCGCAGTGTCTCCAAATGCAAACAATTCAAAGTGGAGTGCAACTCCTTTTTTTTTCTGGCAGTGGCTTAGTGGGTAGGATTCTCAACCAGAAGGTCATGGATTCCAGTCCCGTTCCACAGACTTCAGCTCAAGATCCAGACTGATCAAAGGACTATGATGGTACAGAGCAGGCCATTCAGCCCATTGTGCCAGCATCAATGGGCTAGTTTTATTAGATCTAACAGTTCTATTACCTAGTTCCAATCACCTGCCTTTTCCCCATCTCCCTTCTAACCAAATAACCATCCAGTTCCTTTCAAATGCTTTAATTTGATTTGATTTGATTTATTGTAGTCATGTGTATCTAAGTACAGTGAAAAGCTTTGTTTGTGAGCAGTACAGGCAGATCATCATAAACAGGGACATGCAGATCATAGGGTGCTTAGACAGAGTGAGCTATACAGGTTGCACTGAGTGCATTCCATACCCTCACCAGTCACTATATGAAAAAGTCTTTTTCCTCACATCAACCTTGTTTCATTTCATATCACTTCAAATCATGTCTTCTCGCTCTTGTTTCTTTTACGAGTAGGAACAGTCTCACTATCTACACTGTCCATCCTGCTCATGGCATTAATGATTGCACTCCCAGTGCCATACTGAGGGAGTGCTGCACTGTCAGAAGTATATCTTTCAGATAAAACATTAAACTGAGCTCAGTCTGAGACAGTAAGAACTGCCGATGCTGGAGTCAGAGATACCACAGTGTGGAGCTGAAGGAACACAGCGGGCCAGGCAGCATCAGAGGAACAGGAAGGCTGATGTTTCGGGTCGGGACCCTTCTTCAGAAATAGGGTTGAAGAGTCCCGACCCAAAATGTCAGCTTTCCTGCTCCTCTGATGCTGCCTGGCCTGCTGTGTTCATCCAGCTCCACACTGTGTTATCACTGAGCTCAGTCTAATTTGGGTGAAAAGGACCAAGGGCATTACTTTGAAGAAGAGCCAGAATTCACCAGGTGCCACAGTCAATATTTACCCCTCAATGAACATCACTCAAACCAGACAATCTGGCTATTGAGGAGCACTGTCATCTATATAAAACACAGCAATGCGGAACATTTTTACACAGCAACACCCCACAAACAGCGAGAAGGTGACGTTGGTTTGAGAACAGGAAGGTTGACCAGGGGAGTTCCTCTTCAGGGGAACAGTGGTTAGCACTGCTGCCTCACAGCGCCAGGGAGCTGGTTTCGATTCCGCCCTCGGACGACTATCTATGTGGAGTTTGCACATTCTCCCCGTGTCTGCGTGGGTTTCCTCCGGGTGCTCCAGTTTCCTCCCACAGTCCAAAGATGTGCAGGTTAGGTGGGTTAGCCATTCTAAGCCGCCCTGTGGTGTCCAGGGATGGGTTAGCCATAGGAAATGCAGGGTTATGGGGATAGGGTGGTGAGTGGGTCTGGATGGGACGTGTTAGAGGGCTGGTGCAGATTTGATGGACTGAACATGTAGGGATTCTGTGATTCTTCAGCTGGATCACAGATCTATTTTTTGATTCACTGTGCATTCAGCAGTGAGACACAAAGACAGGTATCTCTCCTGACCAAGGACTGAACTGTACAGTGTGAGGGAGAACCTCCACTCTCTCGGCCATTTCTTGTTCCCGTTTACCTTTGATGTCAGGTTTCGGCCGAGAGTTGAAGCAGTGAACGGTGAGGAGGGGGAAGATCCCATCTTCGTCCGAGGCAGAGTGCCAGATCCGTCGTTCTCCATCTTGGATCGGTAAACCTGGGACAGGAACACACCAGAAAAGGCTCAGTTAGCTGATGGACCTTCACAGTTTCTGCTGTGGGAACTGTCAACTGACTCCAGGAGTTTTCTTATCTCCCTGACACCAAGGGGATGGGGTCCATTAATCTCCGAAGGACCGTAAGTCCAGTAAGAGGTCAGATTATTGATTAAAATGCTCTGCTCTTGCCTGGCAACTTTTTCACTCTTCTCTTCAAGTGTTGACTTGTTGCACAGGGACGGGCCACCCTTCATGCTTGAGCCAACAGGGGAGTCACTCCTCAGCTGTGAGACTTGTCCAGTGTCTGGAGGTTACTCAGCAACAGAGAGGGGGGAAAGGTCACTGCTGAGTCTGGGCTCAACATCCGAACACAAAGATCTGACAAAGGGGCAACGCTGAGGAAGCACCACTCTGGTTTGTGTTTATCTCCAGCTCTAGCCTGTTCCAGGCAGATATTCGAGTATGTGTACAGGAAAAGATGGAATTATTGAGAGGAAGAAATTCCTCCTCCCTTCCCATCACTGGTTTGGTGACAGGGAAAGCCAATTGGCCATTGCAACAAATCAGCAGCTTCTTCACCCTGAGGTAACAAATGTATCCTGTTTACCTGGGATAGTAGAAACTGCTGATGCTGGAGAATCTGGGATAACAAGGTGTGGAGCTGGATGAACACAGCAGGCCAAGCAGCATCAGAGGAGCAGGAAAGCTGGCGTTTTGGGCCTAGACCCTTCTTCAGAAATGGGGGAGGGGAAGGGAATTCTGAAATAAATAGGGAGAGAGGGGGAGGCGGATAGAAGATGGATAAAGGAGAAGATAGGTGGAGAGGAGACAGACAGGTCAAAGAGGCGGGGTTGGAGCCAGTAAAGGTGAGTGTAGGTGGTGAGTTAGGGAGGGGATCGGTCGGTCCAGGGAGGAGGGACAGGTCAAGGAGGCGGGATGAGGTTAGTAGGTAGGAGATGGGGGTGGGACTTGAGGTGGGAGGAGGGGATAGGTGGGCAGAAGGACAGGTTAGGGAGACGGGTACGAGCTGGGCTGGTTTTGGGATGCGGTCAGGGGAGGGGAGATTTTGAAGCTTGTGAAGTCTACATTGATATCCTTGGGCTGCAGGGTTCCCAAGCGGAATATGAGCTGCTGTTCCTGCAACCTTCGGGTGGCATTGTTGTGGCACTGCAGGAGGCCCAGGATGGACATGTCGTCTGAGGAATGGGAGGGGGAGTTGAAATGGTTCGCGACTGGGAGGTGCAGT